GGGAACAAAAGAGAAAGACCAATTTAGTCGTCGATGGCAACAATTTTCTCTTCCTTTTATGGTTACGGTTAACAAAACGTCAATGCTTTTACGAGCTAATTCCAGGTAACAGGTAAACTTTACAAAATGCGTTATGGTTACTCTCGTTAATTACGAAATAATATCTGTTTCAAATTATACAGTATGTAGGGTACCTACCTAACAAATGTATAAAATCAGGAATACTTTTTCTACTTTATATACTACTATAAGACGATTATTATTTTATCATCATTAAAATATTATTGAAATATGATTAATCAATTTCTTCATTGGATTTCTATTTGTTATAGATTACGATAAAGATCGTGGGATCGTAATATTAATCGGTATAAAGTTGAACAGGTGCCGGATGTTACTGAACTAGCAATTGGACATGGCCGATTTTACGATGATTTGCACGGAGCATCACATCAAACTTGGCTACCTCGTACTGAAGATATTCTAAAAAAAGGAAAAGCTAGAGAGAGAGAGAGAGAGAAAGAGAGAGAGAGGGACCAAGTAAGGAAAAACGATGATAGATTCTCCAAAAGGAAGATGAGACCCAAACTAAACTAGCCGTGTCCGATCGAGAAACGAGACGGTAAATGTGGTCAATTGAAGCCATTCGAAAAGTTTTCAATGTTCTTTAACCATTGATCCTTCTACTTTGGATTAAGCTACCGAGATTATGTGGATCCAGGATTGAGGAAAAATGGTCGCATCGTTTGAACCAGTTTCACCTAACAGGATCTCAATTTCGGGAGCGGAAGGCAGATTTCATGGGAACTAAAACTTCCTCAATTTTTGGGATATTGGCCCTTTCACCTTTCTTCTTCTTTCTTCGCTTTTTTTTCTTTTCTTTTTTTTTTTTCTTTAGATAGAAAGTGGTCTGATAAATCGTAATTGAAAAAATATTTCGTAATACATTATGACGAGGAATAAAAAAAATGAAAAAAAAAAAAAATGTCCTAGGGTACACTGCGTCTTTATTTTACTTGCAATGAAATATAAAGTATCCCTCACCCCTCCAAGAGATGGGTTCAGAAGAGAGACATTTGAAGTAAAGTCTATTTAACTACCGCTGTTCGTCTACAGGGTAAATTAAAGAAAACTCTATTTCTCGTTGTTAATTGACGTGAAAATTTACGTCAGCAAACGGTTTCCAACCAACCTAACGTCCAATTGAAAAGAAAGAGAGAGAGAGAATAGCTTTCTTTTTTTCTTTTCTTTTCTTTTCTTTTCTCTCGTATATATGTCAATTAAATAAATGTTACAATGATGATCGGTAGGAAAAAAAGAAAAATGAGAATTTAACTATGCTTGACGAGTCTCGGTATCGTTTCCTTTCGCAAATCTCGTTTTTCCTGTCTCCATGGTTGCAATGCCGGTAATTTTGGTTTAGGTATTACGACCTTTTTTCCCTTACGAGTTTGTCTTTTCCTGTTGGTCGAAACTTTGCGATATTTAGCACTGCTACCACCCTTTTTCATACGTCCACCTCTTTTACTACGTTTACTTCTCGATCGTTTTCGTTTTGACGTTTGATTTTTCCAAGATGCATTAACGTAAAGTCCTCGATCGAATCTGTTTGAAAAATAACAAAAAGTCTAACATTTTGTACTTTCTAATATAATAGTAGTGATAGTAGGTAGCATTATATCAAGATCAACATACTTATATCTGTTGAAACGTCTTTTAATGATTCCAAAATCGATACCACGCCTAAGTGCTAGAGAGATTTGTTTTCTCAGAATTTTACCGGCAAAGATATCGTGTCTCTTGCTAATCCGTTGTAAGATTTCCTTCTCGGATAATCCATTGATCGAACGATCGGTTCTTAAGAGTTCGTAAACGAGATCAGAACTACGTACTGCCATTTTACCGAGTTTCTTGCAATTCTCTCTCGTCGTTTTTTTTTTAACTACTTCGGTCAAGTTACTTTGATTCTACCGGAAAATAACATGGTGCGTTGATAAAAACGATACGACGAGATTGTACAAAACAATCCTCGTGTAATTTTTCTAAAAAAAAAAAAAAAACACGCAATGGGGTCTCCTCCTTCGAAAGTTGTTAGTGCATGATGCTCATAACCCCCCCAAAGTTCAAATGAAAACATCCAATTTGTTAAAACTAATTGATAATAACTTCGTATCGTTAAATTTAAATTCGATTGTTTATTCGAGCAACTTCTAATCGTTGATTATCGAATAATAATAAAGCTTAACGATCGAAAAGCTAATGAAATTTTAATCTCATGCTTGTTACGAAATTCTATAAAGATATTATGCGTATTCATATCCTCGGGCTATCCTAAATATCGCGAATGAATAAACTAAATCAGAATTACATAAATATTCGATATGGTGTATTTAACGATCGAATAATTGACCGCATTGATTATTTTTATTAAAGGATTTAAACGGTTATTAACAGATGTTTGCTTCTTTTCAAACATGTATGCATGATGAAAGTATTTACGTATACATATATGTATATAACATGTATGAATGAACAACGACAACGACGACGACGACGACGAAGACGACGATAAGCGCTCCTCGTATACGTTTGCATCCAAATCCAGAGTTTCATCGGGAAAGAATCTTAACGCGAAGTAAATCTTCTTAGAGAAATATCGATGTTGATGCATGTTATTGGCTTAACGGCGCCGTTGTTATAACCGAAGTATATCCAGAGATAGGCGAGCCAATGCGTTTCTATACGGATAAGAGTTTGATAGTGTGTTAGTGCGATATATATATCTACATCTATGCACGAATCGCTTACTCACACACACAAACACAGACACACGGAGATACCGTTCGATAGTATCCAGCTCTTCGCTTCTAGCGTATCCCTAGCTTTCTGTTCCGGTACTTCGAACTGCTTCGTGTTTGCCAAGAGGGATACGGATGCTGGAGAGTTTAGGAGGCGGGATGGGTGGTTTTAGAAAGAGGGGCACGAGGACGAAGGGATAGAAAGAGAGAGGGTGGAGGGTGGAGGGTGGAGGTTGGTTGATGGCTAGAAAGAGGGAATCCGACTGGATGGCCAGCAAGACTCTGATTTCCGTCGGGAGTTTCGCCCTATCCAGAGCAGCCAGGCGAAGTCGCCTTTAATCATTCGATTGCCGACGCTTCGGAGCCTTCCTTCCTTCCTTCCTTCCTTCCTTGCCTTCCAACTCGATATTCGACCGAGTCCTTTGTGCCTCTCTCTCTCTCTCTCTCTCTCTCTCTCTCTCTCTCTTGCTCTCTTCCTACTTTCTATTTGCTTTTAGCATTCGCACGCTAGCTGGACGTTGTTCAAAAACAAGACCGCGAGAGATTCCTCTTTTTTGTTTTGTTTTCAAGAGCAAAATTAATTAAAAAAGGATAAGAAGAAGAAAAGGATACGTGGTGGTGGTGGTGGTCAGGTTTTATGAATCAAGGCAAGGAAAGATAAAAGGAGGAGGACGGACATCAAAGAACGAGAGGAAGGTCTTTGCACGAGATTGACCTCGAAATCCAGCTGGTACGTCTTTCCCTTTTCTTCATAAGCGAGCGAGCGAGGGGGCGAAGGAGCGAGGGAGCGAGAGAGGGTGGGCCTTTGGTTTCCCGGTTTCCTCGGTGCTTTTTCCAATTCAGCCATCCCTACCTAGTGGTCCTCGAAGTCGGGGCAAGTGGATTATTGACGGCACGAAACAATGGCTAAGCTTTGTTCCGCGCACTCCGGACGTAATATGTTCGATGCAGTAGGGCCGGTATGATGCCTGTCCGTCCATCAGTTTTGTGCATCGAGTGGCCCGGTAAGCCGTGCGAGTACCTCCTCGAACGACCGAGTCAAGTACCGACCGGTACATCTGGCTGTCTGATCGGTGTTTATTAAAAATCATACGAAACTATACGAATCCTAAGCGTCTAAAATGGGGATTCCCAAAATATTAGTCATAACTCATAAGTCAGTCGACTTTCGCTGTTAAAACTCAATCCGATATAAAAAAAAAAAAAAGAAAAAAGTAAAAAACCATTAATAATTCGAGATAAATTTATCCTCACGGGATATAATCTTTTCTCGCTATCCTTTTGGAAGAGATCCTTCAGCCGCGAAGTATTTTAATTTCTTACGAGATTGTAGCGCTCTAAGGAATTCTTTTCGTCGTGCATTTAGTCTTTCTTCAAAAGGAAATCTCAGAGCATTACTCTGGAGACGAGTTTGAGAAAGAAACGAAAGGGAAGAAGATTAACGCGTTTGCCTCTTTTTACTTCGCGTTCGAATCGTTTACTTTCTGATATTTCGGATGACAGAGGATTACAAATTCCAATGAGATAAATAAATTGTACAGAGTAACAACAAATTGCAACATCATAGGGCGGTTCTGGAGAAATCGTAACGTCAATCGTAAACGTCGAAATCGCACCATTCGACCATGCCGAATTTCGTCATGGCGGTCGTGATCCAACGTGTAAACATCCCCATGGGCAATGGCTTCGATTTGGTATCCGGTGCGCCGCCGCACTACCACCAACGAGAACACATCGTGTAGCAGCAACCCTCGAGATTCGAAAGCGGTGCTCACAATTCGGATAAATCATAACGATATACAACGTCTACTTTTTTTTTTTTTACTTTCTTTTCCTTTCAAAAAAAAAAAAATAATAATATTGCAATCTATTGACTTTTGCAAAGTTACGTGAGATGTAATTTTTCGTAACAGATAAAAATACGAATGATCTCATTCGCAAGATTTTGTGGACTGTGGAAACTATTACAACGAGAATATTACGACGAATGTTAATACTCGATTGTTGAGAGGTAAGAAAAAAAGAATCCAAAGTCCTAAGAATCATCGGGGAATTTGGAATTAACGCGTTGAGCACCGGCGAATTCGTAACCTCCGGGGGAAGCTTTCGCTTGTAGAAAAAGAGAAAGAGAGAAAGGAGGGCTTTGACAGTAGCTGGTGGCTCCGAGGGATTCAATATAATCGCGCAATAAAATTCACTTACAAGCTATAGCTCCTCGTCCCCCTTTACTCCTCGGAGAGCCACCGCCTTCTCCCTGTGCTCCTCGAACCTGCTTTTTCCACCCACAGTAGCAGTAGYAGTAGTAGCAGTAGCAGTAGCAGCAGCAGCAGCAGCCACTGGCAAAGACCGACTCTTCATCCTGCTGGAAACGTTGCGGGGAGGAAAGTATTAGCTGCGAGCTTTCAAGCTGAAACTCCCATGCCGTTCATCCCTTCTCTTTCTCCTCCTCCTCCTCCTCCTCCTAACCCTCACCCTCTCAACTTCTCTTTTTCCCTTGCTCCCTCGTCTCTGTGTTCGCATTGGGAGAACGAAAAGGATGGTACAAGAAGGAAACACAAGGTAAAATGAAATTGAATCGTAGCCTCTTCATCTTTCCTTGTTTCCATTTTCCACTCGCTTTTGTCTCAGCAACCTACAGAGCAAGAGAAATGAAGAGAAGCTAAAGTTGAAAGTTGAGAGAGAGAGAGAGAGAGTTTTCAAGCAGGTACGTACTCGTATGATTCCATGCCCCGATCCTCTAGCATATTCTTCCATTAAATCGAACTACGGACCCATCACTCTCGGCTGGATAGTCTCGGAAATACACGGCTCGACGAAGAATACCTCGTGTTTGCATAGGTCCCGATGCACGCCCGATACCCACTACCCCATCATCATCATCGTCGTCATCATCCTCCTCCTGTACAATTCGAAGAGCGAAAGAGAAAAGGAAAGCTCGTAGTAGGGCCCTGTGTACACTCAGCTGCCACACCACCGTCGGCCTGTTTTTCTCTTCTTCTCCTTCCGTGTGCACATCCAGCAGCAAGCACACCCTTCTCTGTAGAGAACGATGCAACGCGGAATACATTCCGCACGCGGCTCTCCTACCTATCCCTCGAGAGTTCAGTTAAATACGTGATCGAACCGAAAAATGATGGGACTGATTTTATTGAAGCCGACGACGTTACTAAATCTCATGCATTCTTTTTTTTTTTTTATTAATAAATCCCTTCCTCCCTTATTTTGTCCATCTCTCTAACACGAACCATTCTTGCATATATAATAAAGCTGTATAAAAAAAAAAAAAAGATGAAAATATATAATATAAATGAAAGATAGTTAAAGTTACATTATAGTTTGTTCCTCTCAATTTTACGGTAGAAACGTGTGGAATCGACGTCCCTCGAGTCGAATCTCCGGGACAGCGTGAACATTGAAAGAAGAAGGTAGTTCGAGGAGGAGGAAAAGCGAGAACGAGTAACACGCTTCGTCGAGCGGAAATTCGCGATATTGCCTGAAGCTCTCGTAGACGATACATAATTGCGGAAACTCTCGGAGATTTTCACCTCGAAATTCACCGTTCGAATAAGAAGAGAAATGGAAGAACCAAAAAAAAAAACAAAAAAGATTTCTCTACGTTACGAGCAGTGTCCCGTTACCACCACTGTGAATCGACTAAAGAGAAAATCATCATTCTTCAATGTTCTACAATATAAGTATTATATATTAACGCAATATAATGTATATACATGTATGTATATATGTATATTAACGGTTGTGGCGGATTTATGGTAGCTGCAGGACTTTTACGAGAAGTATATAGCTTCAGCGGTAGTGGTCCTGTACGAGCGGAGCTAAGATGGAAATCCTGTGTGCTGGTTGGCTGTTGCAGGCCCCGCCTTTCATCCTTGCCCGGGACTATGTGTTACAACGTGCTGTTTAAGTAAGATAGGTAGACGCTTACGCCGAATCGTTGGACCCCATAATAGAAATTCGCGAGCTTTACCTGGCCACAGGAGATGGATAATGCACAGATATATCTACTCTAATTTCATTTTAACGCGTTCACTTTGCGTAGTGTCATGTAATCTAATCGTCCAAGTGTCTCATCGAAAGTTCAACGTTGACCGTGACCCAAAAAGAAGATCAAAAGGATAAATGATTCGCGTTATAAATGTTTTCGCGTCGCGTACCCACACGTAATAAATGAAATTTTGGGCGAGGAGAGAGCAGAGGGGGGGGTCTTACATTGTCACAACAAATGAGATGATGGAAGTGCGTCGAGGAACAAAATGTCGCATGTATTTACGTAGCAGCACGTATAGAAATGCATAGATACACAGGTAGAGAAGTATGCGTACATCTCTAGCCAATCTCGTCCTCTCGCAACGCGTCGTCGTCATCGTCGTCGTCGTCGTCGTTTCCTCTTTACGTAGAACACAATCAGACAGGACGACGTAGCTGTATTCCGGATTGTGAATGTTGACTCGGAGTATATTTGTCTAGCAATGGAGGAGAGCGTTGGTAGACGAAGGTACGAGTAGTGCTAGTGCCAGTGCCAATGCTAGTGCTGGTCGGTTCAAATATTGTGTCGCTTCATTCAGTCGTCGGCGACTATCATAGACACATTATCCTATCGCCATAAAATAAAGCCATTAGAACGATATAAATGGAGAAGAACAAAAGAAAAAAGAAAAAAAAAAAATAAACACAAAAATGTAACTACCCTTTTTTCCCCCATTTAATTTGTACAACTAAGATTTTGAATCGTTCTCGTGGACGACCTACAATTGGACTTCTCTCAGTCAGTCTTTAACGCCTGGATCCACGGGGATCTAATTATCAGTTTGGAAAGTTTCGAAATTAATAAAACTCGGAGTCTGGTCTTCTACTAGCTGACGTGTTTTTTGGGTTTTTTTCTCTCTCTCTCTCTCTCTCTTTCTCTTTCCTTTTCTTGTTATATTACTCTTGGAAGTAAAATCCAAGCTCTTTGGGGGCTTGGAAGGAAGGAAGGAAGAGAAAGGTGCTATAGAGCAGAGTTGGGTGGGCAAAGAGGAGGCGGTTTCGAAAGTCTCGAGAAGATAACTCGGAGTTTCTCTTGGTAAAAGAGCGAAGGAAAGGCAGCGTCGGGAGCGTCGGGCTAGATTCCGAATTTACCAGTCTAATGCGACTGAAACTCTACACTCGAACTCTTCTGGAAAAGTTTGCAGGCAAGCTCACCTTGCCTCAGACTTCCAAACTCTTCTTGTTTCTCGTTTCACCTTAATCTCTAGTTTTATCTCTTCCCTTTCCTTTCCTTTACCATTTCCTCTTTCGTCTTTCTTTCTCTGTGTGTGTGTATGTGTGCATTCTACCTCTTTGTCAAATCTACATAATCCCTTAACGATTATGAGCATTCGCTTGTTTTCAAATACAACCTTCTTTACCTTAATCTTTCATTCATTTTCTTCTTCTTCTTCTTCTTCTTCTTCTTCTTCTTCTTCTTTTCGTATGTAGGAGGTAAAAAGCTTAGGAACATAGCACAGCTGTTTAAGTCGTTTTTCAATGTTTCATATAAAGAGAAGCTTTGATACGATTGGGGACCGAAGTAACGCTTCTGTAGCAATGACGTTGAGAGTCCTTGAGCAAACCACCACGTGGGACGTCCAGCTCCTTCCGTTCTCGACGCACTTTGGGTCACGTAGTACAACACGCTCCTTCTTGTAGTAGGTTAATATGTTTGGATGTCGCAGTTGTACAGAAGGATGGGAACGACGTTACCATACTTTCAATTGTCTACGAGTATCGAGAGACTTACTTGCAGTGTCAGACGCAGAAAATCCTTCTATTATTAATTTTACAACTTTCATTCATTATCAATCGTATTATTTTAATATAGAAACGATAAACATAACATACAAGATTCTTTTAACCTATTTTTTTTCCTTCCCAAATGTATCCTCCTCCGTTACATCGAGCACACATCGAGTACTATTACTGAAGTGTCCTAGAAGTAATACGATGTCACGCCAAGCTGTGGTTTTACATCAAACCTCGAGTGGTCCAGGGTTGACGCTCTCTCTCTTTCTCTCTCCACGAACCATTGTATTTAAGTAGATACTTCAAACGATAGTGCATCGATTCTTCAACATTTTTTACTTAATCATTGATAAATATCGCGAATATAATAAAATATAATATTATCAAGGAAAGTCTTGAAAAGGACTTAGTCATCAATTGCGATCGTACTTAAAGAGGATAAAATTCACCAAAGTAGGTTTCATATAACATTAGGTGTATACCTTGTGGTTTTCTAAAACCACAAAGTAGAACCGCTTAATGATTTTACGTTTATCGGTCAAACGAATGCTTATAATACGAGAGACCACAGAGCTGACCCTACCTAGAAAATCCTTTACTCCCCAAATCTTTCCTATATTATTAGTTAAACACGAAAAGGATTTAAATGGGAAATTGATAAAAACAAAAAAAATTAAAAAACTAAACGTAAGCGTGAACGCGAAATAGATTAACAAAATTATTCATCTTGTTTGAGATGTACTAGCAGGATCAAAATAGATAACAAGAGAGAGAGAGAGAGAGAGAGAGAGAGGAAGAGAACGCAGAAGGAAATTGGTCTGCAAATCGTTATTCAAATCCCTCGGTAAATTCGGGACAAACCGAGCAATATGTAGCGTTTAGCCAGCATTATTCGTGACCCCTGATCGCAATGGGACTACCAATAGGAAGGATCGAAGAACAGAGACCGGGGTGGCTCGCTGGCTCTAACGTGGTGAGTACGAGTGTAGTAGCGCACAATGCCGCTTCAGAATCCCTCCACGCATACTCTGGTGTGCATTTAACGCGGTCTCCTCTCCTCTCTTCTCCCTCTTCACCCTCGAGAAGAAGCGGGGTGCTAAGCCTCCCTGTCGCTCAGGATTACCGGCTCTGATTTGCTCCTACGAATATCTCGCGCCCGCGGAGTCTTTCGATTCTACGTTTGCCAGCAGGAAAAAAAAGCACACTCTTTATGCCTTCAAGCTATCAACTGGTCTCTACTATGATTTTTTCTACGAGAGGGGTGCGCTGCTTATGGTTTGTTCCTGTCTCATTGTTTTCTCCTTTCTTATTATTATTATTATTATTATTACACTAGGGGAGAAGATGCAGCTAATATGAAAATTGCTATGCTAATTATTTTCCCAACACTTTGGGTCATTTGCGCAAATTAGTTAGCTTACACAAATTAGATTAGATTTATATTTCACTTGTTTTTTATTAACCAAAGAAAATTCTATCCAAGTTACTCGATAATTATACTCTAATCAAGGTAAATATATTTATTTAATCAGAGTATTATTTCATTTAGTCGACGATGCATACGGTCATTTAGTTTAAAATTAGATATCGAATTTTCAAATTACGCGAACGACTGAGGAAGATAATTCCTTTGAAAGTCTTCTTTTTGTTCTTTTTTTGTTCTTTTTTTTTTTTATGTATCTTTCATTTTTTTACGTTATTCACATTTTTTTGTTGGCAAGTATTATTACAAATTGGCGAGTGGTGTGCCTAACTCGCACGTCCCTTTGTTTTCGAGTACCCGGCGATAATTTCGTCATGAATTTTAATTCATCGACGCTCGAAGCGTNGGTCATTTAGTTTAAAATTAGATATCGAATTTTCAAATTACGCGAACGACTGAGGAAGATAATTCCTTTGAAAGTCTTCTTTTTGTTCTTTTTTTTTTTTTTTTTTTTTTTTTTTTTTTTTTTACGAAGGAGCCAAAGAATTTGGCCATATCATTTTGGCGAAAATGATTCTCGAGACTTGGCGAGTGGTGTGCCTAACTCGCACGTCCCTTTGTTTTCGAGTACCCGGCGATAATTTCGTCATGAATTTTAATTCATCGACGCTCGAAGCGTTCATGAATTTTAATTTGCCTCTTTTAGTTTGCGTCTCTCTCTCTCTCTCTCTCTCTCTCTTACTCTCTCTCTTACTCTCTCTCTCTCTTTGTTCCTCTTACAGCCGCCTACGGTTCCCGTTGTCGGTAAAAAAAGAAAAGAAAAAAAAAAAATCGAGAAAAAAATTGTAGGGTTAAGAGAAATAAACGGAAAGTGAGATACTGTTGACCAACGCCTCTCTCAACGTCCTTGTGTGATTTTACGTAAATACCAGCATCCACACACACACACACACACACACACACACACACAC